CTGATTAATATTTGATGTAGAAATTATTTATTTTATATATTGTTTGCTTTATAAATATGAAAAAAATTCTCGACACGTTTTTGTTATATAACAAACTGTTATACTTTTCTATATATGTATAATATTTTCTTTCAATATTCTCCATTCAAACTATAGATACACACTTAAATTTGAACAGAACATTCGCGGCTAATCGATTTCATTTTCTCTCTACACGTCCACTGTACATTCGCGAAATCTCTCGAAATCGGCGCACACTGAACATACGCTGTGAGATAAGATAAATCCATACGTAGATATTTAAGAGAGTACACAAAAAGAAAACAAATAAATTCTCCCCCAAACATACACCAGCTGAGAATGACAGCAACAGAAAACAATTAACTGCACTTGTCAGAGTTCAGTTCAGTATTACTTGAATGAAATAAACAAACGGTTGTCAGTGGAAAAAATATACATTCAATAAAAATAAATACGAAAATACAAAAGAAAACAAGTTCGCGTAATTGGAAAAGAATGTAAACATAATAAAGGAATGTGTGTGCGTGTGTTTGAGTAAATATTTATTAATAAATAATTCCTATGTAACAAATGAAATGAAAGTCATTTTGTAAATGCGGGAAGTGTGTTGTGAAGTTCTGAAATTTGATCAGTATTGTGAAGATTTCTATATACATATATATTTGGAGTTAATTGTTTACAATTGCATGGAACTTTTTCTACCTCAGACGTAATATCTTATAACAAAATATTCTGGCTTCTATACAACATTATTTATACGTGCTGAAGCAAGCATTTTTCATAAATATGAACAACAAGAAGAAGCATCAACAATTTTGTTTTATTTTTTTATTTTGTTTACTACCCTCTACTTGTGCTCTACAATTTCTATACATTGTCGTGTTATTTTGTTATTTGCCCACCACCACCCCCTTTGTCATTGTTTACAATAAGAGCGCATGGTTATGCACAGTGTTGCCATATTAATGTTATATGTTTGATAAAAAGAGTACTGGCATTAAGTATTACAGGGTGTATCAAAATTTAGCAACAAAATATAAAATTTTCGGTATGAATGGCATATACAACAAGTTAAAAAAGTAGTTTTGTTCGGTCGGACGGAACTTGGCCTACCTTCCACCATGAGGTGGGACTTTAATATGCGGACTATGTCATCGTAACTTTTTTTTGTATCTCCTAGCTTAATTTTATAACTAAATTTAATTCGAAAATTTTTATTTATAAATAAAATAATAAAGTTTTAAAACAGAATATAAAATATAGAAGAAAAAATCCGTCCGTCTTTTGACATTAGGATAAAGTTCTCAATATATAAGAAAGAGCTGGGATGGTTGGTATTGAAATGGGATATATCGGTCCATTTTATAATTAGGTAGCTCTCATAAAATGGTACCCCCAATATTCGTCTTTTCGAGGCTTTTGGAGACATTTTCAACCTAATTGGCTGCTTTTGGGGATTTATGCTCCCAATAAATAGAAAAATCTTCCTACTAAAAATAATCAATATTATTTTTTATGTCAGTTCCATGAAATATGAATGTGTTTTTCGCTAGAAACAAACGACTTAACATCTGAATTCACCGCACATATTCCTATTCGCAAAACTGAAGACTACGATAAATGAAATGCGTTTGCTAAGTTTGAGGAGATAAAAGAAGCAAGTTAGCAGAGCAGTATAGTCGAACGGGGTCTACCATATGATACCCAACACAGCTACCACTGAGCTTCAAGTTTCTGCGGATTTATATTCTGAGCCTGGACATTATTTTGCGATACTTACACTCTCTTGACCGGTTGGAGGTCAACAGCTTCTCTGCGCCACTTTTTCGAATTATGTTTTCCCGGAGTAAAAATTACATCCATAAAACATAATTCGTTTGACCCGCCAAATATAGACCCTTTATTATCAAGACAGCCATTCGAATAGTTGGTCAGATCGCCTACCCCAGGGAAAAATTGCGAAGTTCGGCTGATGCGATGCATCTAGAAGGGACTAGAAAACCACAAAAAAATAAAGTTTTCGATCCATTTCATTCCCGAAAAATCATAGGCGTCGTCCTTTACCATAACCAGAACTTTATGTAAAATTTCAAAAATTTTCAAAATTTCAGAACTTTATTTAAAATATCAGAATACGTAGACACCCTTAGTATTCCAGTAATTAGTAATAGAACAATAAAATAAATATCAATTTAAATGTAAAATGCTCCTCTTGGATATACTGTCAACTTCTCCGGTCTACGTTCTTCGGAACTAAATATATACGACATAGAATGCAAATTTTGTTTTTCAAACAAAAGTCTTGGTCCAGTTGACACGCTAAATATTGACGAATCTTTATCAAAATAATCATGCTTCTTCTTTTGCCAGATCCCCTTCTCTATCTAAATTTTTTTGACTTTCGGTCTCTGTAGCGAATCGAAAAAAAAAAACAAAAATACAGTTTTTGGTTCATTTCATCCCTTAAATAATAAAAAATCAGACCAATCATTGGCCAAAACCGGTCCTACATGCAAAAATTCGTGATGATTGGTCCTTAATTGTAGCCTGTAGCGTGTTTACATATTATAATGGACACACAATCTAGATCGACCCAGCTAGTTGAGATAAACTAAAGGGGGGTCTAGGGCCAATATTTCGCGGCGTTACAAACAAAGCTATACTACCTTTATAACATACGGGAGATGTTGGATTTTGGATTATATCTGCTCTCATCAGCGAACGTATTTACGTGTTAATTTTAAATTTAAATAAAAACCTCGATAAAACATCTCAAAAAATTAAAGCTAGGAACAACATCCGAATACCAGGTGTTCCATCTGTTGAGTCGATCAATCCTTACCATGTATAACTAATACCCAGTTAACCTTCATCGTGGGACTGATAACAGGGACACTAGAATCAACGCCGACAAATAATCTTACAATGCTAACGAATGTTCATAAGGACAAAATGTTTTCCTTAACGAATAATCGCCGAAAATGTCAATATCCCAATCTGTATCTATCAATAGTATACGTATCCAGAATGAAATCAAGAAAAACTTTTAATATCTCGATTGCTTGGGTGTCAATGTGGAACTCCTTGGGTCGTATCATAAAACACAAAAACGTAATTCGATCTACCACACAAACGATGGCGTAATTGAAATCGCCTCCGCTATTCCACAAGCCCAGCAGTGTGTGCGGTGCCAAAAACCAGACGATCGACCACATAATATACAACTGCCCTGTGGTATATTTCCAGGAATATCCATGATGAAGTACAGTTTCTTCCAACAGGCCCAATGTCCTGGCTAAACAAATAAATTAATAATGTATTCGGGTTTTCAGAATTTGTAGAATCTAACGAGGTCGTAGGTTAATTAAAACGTTTTTTATTTTATTTAAATCTACACAATCAGTTTATCTGGAACCCCCAGTATATTTAGAAACCCACTTGACCTAATGTATCCTACCCAATTTCAAATAAATGTCGAAATTGATATTTTATGCACCTTTAACACAATTCTCTATCTAAAATTTTCACGACACCCTGTATACAACGTTAAAATACAACGTGTTGATGACAAATAAAGCCGGCTAGGTTACGAAAATCTCTTCTCAAACAAACTAACTCTCTTTTGAAAGAGAGGAAATATATTTTCCCTCAAGAGTGCCTAAATGTATACTTTTCATATCAACACGACTGGGTACAGAGTTTAGTTTTGTTTGAGATTTCTTAAAATTCGTTACACTTAACCGGCATTTTCGAACCAAAGAAAACCACCAACAAGAATTGTATTTTATAAACATAACCAATTGAGAGAATTATCAAGTGGGAACAGTTTGTGTGTGGACGAGCGTGTTCGAGGGGCAGTGTTGGGTTAGGTCAAGTGTTTGCCAGTAATGTTGTTTTTCCGATATTGTGCGTTTTCCTAGAACATGAAAATTAACGTTGAATAATTTAAAAACTATTTTCCGAAATAAGTTCAAATGTGGTAGTTGTTATATGTAATGGTCATACAATAAACTTGATGTGTAATAACAAAAACGAACTTGTCACTGAATTGTTGTTGTAAGAAATAACGTTAGCTGGCGTAAAGTATTTGTAGGGTTTCATTATGTCGTTTCTTTTTGAATTAGTTGCGGCATAACAGAAATTCGAAGGAAAAACAAATAAACAGTCAATGATAGTTTGCTGTGACTGGTGTTAGCAATTTAAATATTGGGACTGGTGCTGCAGAATTTCCATAATGGATTTTATATTTGAATGTTTTTACACGGATACATTGGATAAAATTAGCCGCAGTGGCCTGCAGGATCGTTCATCGCGCCGTGATGTTTTGGATCATTTAAATGCCATAATCGGCGGCTGTAGTGATGGTAAATTTATTATGTGGAACAATAATTATTTACGAATAATAAAATGTTTGTTTTTTGTGTTTGAAGGTCAAAATATGCAAACCGAGGAGGTGGCACGCATTGCTGTACTGTCTGCTGTCCGTTATCATCGTGAGCAAAAGGACGCCAATGGTGATGTAAGGATAAAATTTATTTTTTATTAATTAGTTTTTGTTGGTGAATATTATGTTTAGCCTTGTAGTCAGTCATAATTAAATCTCTCTGAAAAAAGGACAGCAAGGGATTTTAATGTGTGTTGGTACCATCCCCTATGTTATGTCCATTCAAAATACCTTACATCGGTCGACGTCTTTATAGGGGGACTTTGTCACTATAAGTTTTCTGTTAGAATGTTGTTTATGGTCTGAGAAAATTAAATATCAAATTATATACCCTCAGGTTGAAAATTAAGATAGGAGCTTCAACATACAGAACATTAAGGTTCTAACTAAAAAACCTTGGACCAATGTTGACAGATTTTATTCACAAGAAATTCGGAATGTTGAATTTCTGCCACTTCGACAAGAAAATAGGGATAAAATCTTCAAAAAAAAAAAAAAAAACTGAAATATTGAACATTAAGCGGGATCTGCAATCGAAGAAAAAACATTGACCAACAATGAACGTGGGAATAAGTTTTTATTTTCCAGGAATATGGAATGCCCATTGTACCAAATTACAACCCCATCGGTTTGAAATGTGGCTAAAGTCTCCAAAATATCGGACGAGGTCTACCAAATTAAAACCGAACTGATCTACCACTGATCTCCAATTTTCTGCGGATATATATTCCGAGCGTGGACAACATTTTGCGATACTTGCGCTCTCTTGACCGGTTGGAGGTAAAAATTATTCGAATTAGTTGGTCAGATCGCCTTCCCCATGGAAAATTTGCCTCCCCCATGGAAAGTTTTCGGTTCATTTCATCACCGAAATATAATCTGAACGTAGTCGAAAATCATATGCCCTTGACCATAACCAGAGCCCCATCGTTTGGAAATGTGGAATGTGACATTGATAATTTTTGGTAGGAATGTTTGACACCCCATGAGATCCTGTAAAATCAAATTAGAGCGAATTCGGCTGAAAAACATTTCTAAAACTCTCCAAAATACTGAGTATAGGGTTTACAGGGTGTATATGGAATACTCTGATTAAAAAAAATCTGCAGAATATTAGACCTCTGCATAACTGATGCTTCTTAGCTCAGCTTTTTTGTATGGCCCACAGGCTTATTTTACTTAATTTTATAAACATTACAATATCATATTTTTAGCTTTATCCTTCATATATTCTGTTTACAATATTATCCTTATCGGTATATGAACACATTTATTTTCCCTTCCAATTAAAATGTCTTAAAATGTTTTCACACACACATAATTTTTGTAATCACAATTTATATTTTCTAATTAATCCAATTAACATAAAAATAAATTACCCAAAACTGTATCAACCATATACCAAACCAAACTGAACCATAATCTATGTTCTAATTTCTCACATCTCCCCCTACCACAAAACACCTATTTGACTTTTCTTTCCAATTTCTTTCGCAGGTCTGTTTAATGGGCAAATACCATAACATCTTGTATATTGCCTTGCGTACTTGCTGGGATTGGGGTGTACGAGATTCTGCGGTTGTTGTGGTCTTATTGGGTAAGTAGAACATCTCTAGAACCATTCGCACACTACACCATTGGTCGGGTAGTAATGTATGTTGAGAGGTGTAAACATGTTATCGTTTTGTTGTTGATATTCGTTTTATTCGAAATTTTGTGAATCGCCATGGCAGAAGATAAACTATTTATAAATGATTATCGTTTTTGGTGTTTACTAACTAACCAACCAGGGCGAGTGTGTGTGCTTTGTTAGCTTGGTGTGTTAATGGTAAATATAAATTATGTTGCAATTAAAAGTGACCGCTGAGAGGGAGGCGAAAGAGAGAAGAGCATAGGAGCTCCTAATAATTTATGGAGTGCGTATCAATTTGTCGGTTTCATTTTATAAGGGAAGTTGATAAATTGGTGTATATATATTTCATCGGATTGAATCTCAAGAATGGACTGTAATTTTTGTAATTTTTCAAAATGACGATTTATGACACCATGTAAAAATTATTGACAAATTATCACCATAACATGAAATAAATATGTCATTGTTCCATATATATATTTGGGAGAATTTCTATTGACATTTTCTGCTCTAAGAAATTATGCCAAATTACAGCTACTTCGTTGGAAAAATGCAGTTAGGATTTGCAAATTACAAAATATAAGAGATGGTTTTTAATGGGGTCTATATAAAAAATTAGACCTATATTGAAATTTGCCTCTAAGAAGACGAAATACAAAATTGTAGTTATTACGAATGTTGTATATGAAATTCGGGATTTCCAAAAAAGTGAACCAATATTTATCATATTTAGAAGGAAAATGTTTAGTAGGAAACATTTGAAACCCCATGTGAACCAGTAAAATTAAATTAGAACGAATTTGTTGACAAACATTTTCAAAGCCGTCCAAAACACCGAATATGGAGGCTACCCGGAAACATGGGCCGATGTTGATAACTCTTTGTAGGGACTTTTCCTACTCCATGATAATCCCAAAAATATTAATTTGCAAGCTACTACAAATATTTATGGTGTAACGTTATATGTAGGCTTCCCTAAAAGTTGGACTTATATTAATAATTTTTGGTAGGACGTAAATCGTAACATACCACAACTGAAAATAACAAATTACTAATTAAGTAGAAATTTATGCCCAAAACCTTTTTTGCGAATTCGGCTAGGACCTTCAAAATACTTCACATCGGTTGAAAAATAGTGCTACCGACCATTAAAAATGTATCTACAATTTGGATTATGCCAAGATTTTCTATCCTTTGAAAACACGACATTCAAATTGCAGCCAAAATGAGTCAAAATGAGGGTAGGACCTTTAAAACATCTAAAATCCTTATAAAACAACATGGGAAGAAGTTGTTTTTGTAGGGAGTCTGAAAATAATATTACAGATTTAGTGGTTATAAAACCTTGCTTGGACCTTTCACAACCCCTAAAATGGGGCCTGACCTTTATATTGGGGATTATGTAGAGTCACTACCGTCAGAAATGTTTCGACGATAGAGGGGTCTACGATCAGAAACGACCCGAGTTATACTCGGCCAACGTCTGTCACCTCAGTCCATTGTGTAAAAGCAATAGGGCTGTTACTACAACAACAACAGAAACAAACCAGTAGGGAAAGTAGTAAAGTCGGACGGGGCCGACTATATGATACCCTTCACCTTTGAAGGACCATTAACATTAAAATAAACATTTCATTCCGCAACCTATACTAAATTTTGGTCAGATATAGAGTTGCTTCTTACAATGGGAAATTATGTAAATAAATTTAAAGCAAAATATCGAAATCTAAACCGATATCTTCATTTACTTATAAATCCAAATTTCGTGAAAATCGAAGGATATACTTTGGTGCACCATTTACATAAAATCGGACGATATATATATATATATATATATATATAAATCTGTACCGATTTTCAGGAAATTTTACACAGGTCGTTCTAGGCTTAATTCAGAATGTTATGCCAAATTTCGTGCAAATCGAAGGATATATAGGGACTTTGGTGCACCATTTACATGAAGTCGGACAAAACTATATATGGGAGCTATATCTAAATCTGGACCGATTTTCTCGAAACTTAACACACGTCATTCTTGACCTAATTCAGTACTTTATGCCAAATTTCATGCAAATCGAAGCATACATAGGTACTTTGGTGCCCCATTAACCTTCAATCGGACGAAAATATATATGGGGGCTATATCTCAATCTATATATATATATATAAATCTGTACCGATTTTCAGGAAATTTTACACACGTCGTTCTAGGCTTAATTTAGAATGTTATGCCAAATTTCGTGCAAATCGAAGGATATATAGGGACTTTGGTGCACCATTTACATTAAGTCGGACAAAACTATAAATGTGAGCTATATCTAAATCTGGACCGATTTTCTCGAAACTTAACACACGTCATTCTTGACCTAATTCAGTACTTTATGCCAAATTTCGTGCAAATCGAAGCATACATAGGTGCTTTGGTGCCCCATTTACCTTTAATCGGACGAAAATATATATGGGGGCTATATCTCAATATAGACCGATTTTCACGAAACTTAGCACACATCATTCTAGACTTAACTCAGTACGCTGTCCTAAATTTCATGCAAATCGAAAGGTATATAGGGACTTTGGTGCACCATGTACATAAAATCGAACAAAACTATATATGGGAGCTATATCCAAATCGAATGATATAAAGGGACTTTGGTGCACCATTTACGTTAAATCGGACGAAATTATAAATGGGAGCTATATCTAAATCTGAACCAATTTTTGGGAAACTTGGCACACAGCATTCTGCACCTAATTCAGTACTCTATAGCAAATTTCGTGCAAATCGAAAGATATATAGGGACTTTGGGGCACCATTTACATGAAATCGGACGAAACTATATATGGGAGCCATATCTAAATCTGGACCGATTTTCTCGAAACTTGGCAGACATCATTCTAGACTCAATTCAGTACGTTATACCTAATTTAGTGCAAATCGAAGGATATATAGGGACTTTGGTGCACCATTTACATGAAATCGGACGAAACTATATATGGGAGCTATATTTAAATCTGGACCGATTTTCTTGAAACTTGGCAGACATCATTCTAGGCTCAATTCAGTACGTTATGCCAAATTTCGTGCAAATCGAAAGATATATAGGGACTTTGGGGCACCATTTACATGAAATCGGACGAAACTATATATTGGAGCTACATCTAAATCTGGACCAATTTTCATTAATATCTAAATCTGGACCGATTTTCTTGAAACTTGGCAGACATCATTCTAGGCTCAATTCAGTACGTTATGCCAAATTTCGTGCAAATCGAAAGATATATAGGGACATTGGGGGCACCATTTACATGAAATCGGACGAAACTATATATGGGAGCTATATCTAAATCTGGACCGATTTTCTCGAAACTTGGCAGACATCATTCTAGGCTCAATTCAGTACGTTATGCCTAATTTAGTGCAAATCGAAGGATATATAGGGACTTTGGCACACCATTTACATGAAATCGGACGAAACTATATATGGGAGCTATATCTAAATCTGGACCGATTTTCTCGAAACTTGGCGGACATCATTCTAGGCTTAATTCAGTACGTTGTGCCAAATTTCGTGCAAATCGAAAGATATATAGGGACTTTGGGGCACCATTTACATGAAATCGGACGAAACTATATATGAGGAACCATGTGGCTATCTCGTTTCCTTTTGCCTGTTACAAACATATGCACAAAGACATAATACCCTGTACCACAGTGTGGTGAAGGGTATAAAATCATCCGGGTGGCCAACTTGAATGAATAGATCTGTACAATTGTAATATACGACAAAATTGAAAAATACGACAAGGGCCTTAAAAACAGTTAAAATGGGCGACTACTTTATATTAGCCAAAAGGTTTTCGATCCTCTGAAAACACGAAATTAAAATTACAACAATTTCAGTTTAAAAATCTGGATAATACCTTTAAAAGACCTAATATTCAAGAGCATTTTTAAAACTTAGGAGGATGTTGTTTTTGTGGGAGTCTAAAACCTTGAAAATTCAATTTAAAGAATCATTGGTTAGAAAACGTTCACAAGATCATAAAATGAGACGGGACTTCATAGTGGGGGGTAGTATTTTATTCTCTTAAAATTCGAAATACACAATTACAAATCGGACCCTATAAATGTTCTATGTCAAATCATGAGACTATTTGAAAATTTGTTTTCAGAATGCCCTATATGCTGCAAGTACAAATTTCAAACGGACCATCTTATCCTTTTGAATGAAATTTCCCGATGTCAAATGGAAAGTGACTGCTTTCTGTCCTCAATTTATATTTCACGTAGCTCCAAAGTTAGATGTCGTAAGGTGTAAAATATATCCCAAACTATAAATGTACGTTTGAAAATGTGGCTAGGTCTTTCAAAACACCTAAAATTCCGAGTGATTTTTATATGCTGATTATTTCAAAACATTTATCAGGGATGAAGGATGTCCTTTACCTTTCAAGAACCCGGAGTGTAAAGTGTCATAGCGAGCCTGCTTTCATGACCATTTCAGGAAATTTTACATTGCCACATCGCAAAGAATTCTATTCTTTAGGTCTTGAATCGACCCTGTGCTGTTAGGTGTAAAATGGCCAATTTTGATCACCCCTTCGAGAGATAACACGGTCTGGAAAACTCAAAATATCAATTTGCAGAAATTTAAGTTGGAAAATGTGTCTAGGACCTCCCAAACACCTCACACGATTTTTAAATGTCTGTTTCAAAATATGAACCTACATTGGAAATTTTCTGCATAGAGGGCATGTATCCGCTGAAAATCTAAAAAAATTGGGTAAAAATATTGAAAATTTGGTATAAGGACCGGGTTAGTATAAATTTCATAGCGACCACGCATACTAGAAAATATCTGTTTAATGAAATTTCGCATAGTCAAATCGCAAAGTGCTGTCCTCGAATCCTGCCGCATTCTATATCAAATCACACTCATTGGTAAATTGTCATCACCTCTTTGAGATATACCTCGGTCCCAAGGCCTTTCTCGCAAAAGACTGTCTTGTTGAAAATCAACCTTATTTTTAAAAAAGTAAGGTCCATACATTACAACATACCAAACTATAAGTATGGAGTGGAGAGGCTTCTCAACAAAAATTCTTGGGGGTTCTGAGCCACAAGATGCGAATATTGGCTTCTTGGCGTATCCTCCGAGTTTTAAGTGGGCCAGCCAAGATGATTTTCGAATTTTTTTAATAGACTTCATTCGATTTTCATTTATAACCCAGTTCATTCCCACCAGATTCTTTTTTGTTTCTTTAATAACCCTTCATATCTAATAAAATTCCGACTAATTATTTCCATATGTATATCCATGAGTGGTATATGAAACCTCTTCTCATAAATTCTATGTTTATGTATTTATGTATGTATGTGTAATTCGTCACAATTGTTCTATGTATGTTAAATGCAAATGTCAAAAATCCTAAATTCATAAATATTTACATATTTTTCTCTTTGGGTGTTTGTTTGTTTACATTGCCAATAGACCAATCTCTCTTTGCATACACAGACATTTATATATTCATTTGTTTACCATAAACATAACAATTTGTATGTTTGTATGCCTGTACATGTGGCTATGTGAGAATTAAATCCTCGTATAAAATATTCAAAACAACCATTTTCCCGGCACAGTAACACACAGGGTGAAAATTGTCAGCAAATTATACAAAAGGGAATTTAAAAATTTGTAGTTGGGTTAAATGTTCTAGGGTAAGCGTATGTATAAGAATATTCTGAATCTGTATCTAAATCAGATGAAGATTCAACCTATTAATAAATAAACAACCAAATAATAGTTCCGGCCTCCGGTCGTCTATGGTAAAAGTCAGTGTAATACAAGAGAGGAAGGTCAGTTTATTTTTCGATACAGAGAACAAATATCCCATTACCCATTGCATTTTTGTTGTCAAAATTAGAAAATATTCGACCTACACGATATGGCCTTCATATCAAGCGAAACCCGTATTTATGGATTTGTAGGAAGACTATACCCGAGGTACCATAAAGTAAGAAAAAATTGAATTCATATTTCCATCAGCTCGTCTATAAATACACCATTCATCTACCACTAGCTCGTCTGTAAATTTTTCCTTCAGCTCGCATAAATCCGCACTTCAGCTCGTTATTAAAGCCTTTCCTAAACTCGTGTATAAAGCTTGCCTTCAGATCGTCTATGAAAGACTCTTTTCAGCTATGAATGTTTCTCTTTATCCTCTATAAATGACTTCCTTCTGTTCGTCTATGAAAGACTCTCTTCAGGATCATTTATGAATGACAACTTTCAGGTCGTCTATAGAAGACATCATTCAACTCTTCTATGATAGATTCCCTTCAACTCTTCTCTGATAGACTCCCTTCGGCTCGTCTATGATAGACTCCCTTCAGCTCGATTATGGAAGACTCTCTTCAGCTCGACTATGAAATACTCCCTTCATTATATCTATAAAGATTCCTTTAGCTCGTCGATAAATTGTCCCTCAAAATTCCACAAATTTTAATAGTTCTATAGCCGTTTAACCATACTGTCGTCTCAGTTCCACATCGACACATTAACGACGACAATATCACAGTTGTTGTTGCTGCTGCAGTTATCGTTCTTCTGGCAAATGCATTGTTTCGCACTTCATTCAACAAGTTTAAGTAGAAATTTAAATGTTTTCCATGTTTATGCCTCGACAAATTCTTCTACCATATAATGAACGTGCAACAAGCAAGCCTGTGCAGAGCTCAACATTTGCAGTTGTCGATGTTTTTGCAGTCCTTCACTTTTGGCACTTGAAAGCCAACGCAATGCAAATCATTGAAGCGTAAATGAAAAATACTGCTTTTAGAGAGGTCTAAATTTTCAGTACGCATCAATGCGTTTTTGTCGACTATAATAATCGTATTTCCCCATAATGCCAGAACAGCATGAATATTATTATATTTTATGAAACTGGCAATAAATGACAAATTTTGTATAATATGGTGAGATTGTTATTTTTAGAGAAATTTATGAATGGAATTTATATTTAGCTTCAAACGAATTTTAATTTAATTAGTACCAGTAATGTAAAAAATTATAATTTTTAAATTCGAATGTCAATGTGAGTAGGTATCATAATTTATTCATCACTACATCTCTCCCTCACGTACACAGTAACGTATACATGTTAATCACATGATTAATATGTATACGCCTTGGTGTACAAATGAAATAATAATAATTATACGTTATGGTGTACACCATCATCTTAAAAACGAGTTTATAATGCGTTTTATTCCAAGCCCTTTGTAATCCACACTCACACACTGTCTTTAATGTGTTTGTAACGAAGAAGAATAAGGGAAAGAATTAAACAAACAAACAGACATATCGTCATTAATTTACACTTATCCTCGTTTTTATATTGTCATCTTACATTCATTATCCTTTTATTTCTTTACAGAGGAAATTTATGCATGCGAAAAGACATTCGAACGTATTTTCTTGGGCGCTTTATTCGGTACCCATGCACCACACTTTATTGCCGGTTGGCGTAGTGACTTTCGAGACCAGGTAAATATTTTGGTTTTTCTTTTTTTTTTTAAAAAAAGTATTGAGTAAGTAAGTAATAATAAATATAATAAAGAAAAGTGAAACAGGCGGGGTTGGGTATATTTCGACATAATTCCATCAATTGTTGAAGTTTTCGTAATGCAACCAAAGATTGATTGATTTTAAGAAATCGCGGTTTCTTTTTGGTAATGACAGTAACATAGGAGCGTATGAGTATTGTTATTATTCATACGCCTTGTATGTAAAATAAATTAAAAATAATTATACGCTCATTACACTGTCCTACAAGATTTTTACGATTATATTAAAAACCCAGAAGAATAAACTCCATTAAAAAAATGGGTTATATTCTTATTTGCAGCCATTCCAGGCTATTTTGTCTTCAGTAAATTCAATATGAATTATTATTTACCTAATCATCGTTTACCTAATCATTTACCTAATCATCGCTCAAAAATCATTTATCTGTGTAAATTAAAAATTTCGTATAAGTTGCCAACCCTGAAGAACTTTTGCATTCGTCTACCATAAATGTATGACATTTCTTTGCGGTATACAGATCCGTGTTCCAACATATTCGAGATGACAGTTATAATACCTACTTTTATACCGAGGAATTTGGCCTAAGGGGTTTCATCCCTACAAATAAATTTTCAATCGCCTCACCAGAGCATGAGCTCAATATTGTTGATTATGCGGGGACCATAGCAACGTAGGAACTCAATTTTGACTTGAATATGTCAAAAATTTCCCTAAAACCTTTAGAAAATTAAAAAAAAAACATTTATAATGCAAGCACTCATACATTGGCTAAAACCATGGGAAAAAATACGTGGACTTGATAGCTAACCCGCATGTACTTTGACTTGACCCACAATTATTTCTTGTTACTCCCACCTATCAGGAAAAAAAAAATCGTGTTATGGGAAAAGTGATTCTACAGTTGGGTTGAGGGCATTAAAATTATATTAATAATAATGCAGAATACTTCGAAAAACAATAAAAGAATGTTTGACGATCAAATTCATGTTTTCTTTATTACTTCAGAAATATATGGAATAGTCTTCGTAAAAGGTCAAGTGATCTTCTATAAGCAGTTCAAAAGATAAATGAGTGGTTTTTGGAGAGGAGCCATAGATTATTATATATCAGAACATAAAGTTTTTATATAGTAGAACAAAGTGATCCCTTATAGCAGCCCAAGAGGTATGCTTAAAGAAGACTAGAAAGTTTTGTAAAAGACAGAAGAAGACCAGAAAGTGGAATATCGAGAGGATTTAGAATAGAACACAAAGAGCTCCTCTAATAGAAGACCAACATTTCTTCACCTATAAGAGAAAGGGGTTTTATAATAAACTACGACTACGATTTCTTCTTAGATAAACCCAAGAGACAAGGGCTTCAGAAGGGTTTCTTATAGATCAAAGTCTTTTTAAATAACATTGGAAGGTCTCCATATAAAAGGTCAGAAGATCTTTGTATAGAAAATCGGAAGGTCGGATGATTTTCTTATAGGAGATCGAAAGGTCTTCTTGTAGAAGGTCGGAAAGTCTACTTAGAGAAGATCGGAAGTTATGCTAATGGAAGATCGGAAGGTATCCTTATAGAAGGCCTGAAGGTTTCTTTTTGAAGGTCGGAAGGTCTTCTTTTATAATACCATATGACCATTTTGACAGAAAACCAAAGGATAGTTCTAGAAAAGGCCAAGGGAGCAAACCAAGAGATATTATTAAAAAAAAAAAAAAAAAAAAACTAGAAAGTTGTGGAATATCAAGAGGATTTACAATAGAAAACAAGGAGGTCATCTAATAGAAGACCAAAGTGTCTTCATCTATAAGAGTAAGGGTCTTATAATAAAATACATGGGTTCGTCTTCTTATATTATAGCAGATTACGATTTCTTCTTAGAAAAAACCAAGAGATTAGAATACCATAGAAGATCAGAGGGGCTTCTTATAGATTAAAGTCTTTTTAAATAACATTGGAAGGTCTCCTTATAAAAGGTCTGAAGATCTTCGTATAGAAAATCGGATGGTCGGAAAGTCTTCTTATAGAAGGCCGGAAAGTCTACTTATAGAAGATCGGAAGGTATCTTTATATAAGGCAGGAAGGTTTTTTTTTTGGAGGTCGGAAGGTCTTCTTATATAAGCCAATATGACTCTCTTTTGACAGAAAACCAAGGTATAATTCTAGAATAGATCAAGAGAACATCGTATTGCAGAAAATTAGGTCTTCTACCTTTTCAGAGAAGTACGAAAGGTCTCTCCACAACATAATATGAGGTCTTCATAGAAGAACAGAATGCCTTTTTGTAGAGTACCAAAAGTTCGTGTATATAGAAGACTGGATGGTAATTTCATGTAAGCTCTGAAGGTCTTCTCATAGAACAGTGGAAGGTCAATGTTTAAAATACAAGACTTCGATTTCTGATATTATAACAAAATTCCTATAGAAGTCCAACATATTTCCTATAGAGGACCACATGACTCTCCTATTGAAGATAAAAAGGGTCTTCTGATAGAAAACCTGGGGATCGTTCTATAAAAAGAGCTGTTCCACCTTTTCGTGTTATAGAAGATTGGACGTTAATTGTATGGAATACTGGTCTTTGTTTTGTAATAATATATATATATGATCAAAGGCTATCTTAGAATTTGAAGGCCCTCTGATTTTGAAAAAGGAGACCTTATTTTTCTCTAAAAACCATTTATATTCTCTTATAAGGTTTCTTTTATCCTATAAGAAGACCATGTATACTGCTATAAGAAGTTCTCTTGTCTTCTATAAGGTAACCTTTGTGGCTTCCTTATTAAAAACCTCTTCGTTTCTTCATTATCTCATAGAAACAAGGCCGCTATAGATGAAGAGATTGCCTTCTTATGGAAGACAAAATGATATTTGTATAGATCGAGGGATCTTATTTTAAAGATAAAGACAACTTCTTATAGCAGAATAAGTGATTTTCTTATAGGATAAGAAGAGGTCTTCCAACAGAGTTTCGAAAGTTCTTATACACTGCGTATCATAACTATAGACGCACCTTTAATTCAATTGATATGTTAGTTAACAAATAAAATGGACCTATTAAGTTATGGTTCACAATAAAACGATCAAAAACACATATTATTCAACAAAAATAATGAATTTATTCTTTATGGTTTCGCCGAATTCTGCACTTTCAAAATTACTGGTGTTGCATAACTATAGACGCACTTTTACAAAATTAGATAAAATTATTTTTTAAAACTTAAATAAAATAACTTTTATAAATAATGGGTAGGGACTCCCTTATTTTGCATAAGTTCAAAAATTTTATCCATCACACTGTTGATCAAAATTTTTCGCAGTGTAGATCGGAGGGTCTTGATCAAGATCAAATCTTAATATTAAAGACCACAAACTCAGTAAGAACAATAGGACTTTTTGGAGACCTGTAAGTAGTCTTATGTCATATCAGGCCTTCTTCTTAAAGACTAATAGGTATTTTTATTGAAGGTCAGTTCGTACTAACCGAAAGTCTTTTTATAGTAATATATTCTTATAGCAGACCCAAAGACCATACCAGAAAAAACAGAATTTCTTCAAAAGATTGTTTAACAAAACATTAACAAACAAATATTGTTATGTAAAAAACCATTCTTGTATAAATCCCGAAACGAAGAGACCCATGTGTACAATCTTATAAATATGTTCTTGAGAGTTTTCCTATACTAAGAAGCTGCTACTTTTGTTTCCTTTATTTGACAAAATGTATGTCCTTTTCCTCTTACTAACATATTTTGTTTTTTTTCCTTTTTTACCTCATCCCACATTGGACGTTCTTTGCACACATCTGTTACACCAATTGCCTGCCATATGCCTACTAAAAAGGATGAGAATACCCGAGCTATGGTATATTTTTTACATCATGCAACAAGTCTTGATATGACACTGCCCTGTTGGATAGCACGTTATGAACAGGAACGTATGGTCAAGTAAGTATATGTGTCCTTGCCATTTGTTGTTGCTGTTTTATTTCTTTAGGCCCTATTTATGAATGCTGTGTGGTTTGATTTTTGGTAGGGACATTAAGAGTATTGAAAAGGAATTTATAAGAGTGAAAATTAAATATTTATACAAAAAAAAAAAAGATATGTTTTAGGGACTTTAACAGAAAAATTGTAAAAAAATATATCTGAAGAAAATTTTTTCAACTGTTTAATATAAAAATACATATAATGATATGGTGTGGGCTGCTTAACAAACAATGTATAGGAGGAGATGCAAATGTGGTATACCCATTTGATTTTAGATTGCCAAATTTTTATTTTTTTATCCGATTAAATTGAAATTTTACACTTTACATGATACATGTGTTGTCTTTCCATGTATCAATTTGAAAATAATATTATTCTAACAATTTAAGAGATATTTGAGAAAATATTTGAATTTCCATTAAAAATGATTTAAAAAAAGTGCAGGTAATGTGGTATACCACATGATGTTAATGTGGTATAGTATAATTTTACTTCCAATTGATATCTTATATAATTTATTGTTTTTAATGAATGTGAATTAGCTCGAGATTTATGTATTTTAAGATTTTTAACGGATACTTTAAGTGGAACTTTAATTTTTATTATATAATAATGTCTACACAACTTCAACCGAAAAAAAGTCAATTTCATGAAAAATTTAATTTTTGCTACCGATTCTCAACGTGAATTAAATAAATTAAACAGATCATTGTTATCTTATTTTTTGAGAACAGCAAGCTATAGAACATGTTTCATTTATTCTAAAATTTTCAGTTTACAAAAAAAAGTGACTATACAACATTACCAACCTATACCACATTTGCATCACTTCCTATATTCCCTAATAAAATTCAACCACATTAAAGGATATTCAACGAACTTTGACTTGTTTAATATTCATCTTTGCTACATAATCATGTTAATGGTGTTTATGCCAATGGAGAACAAAAGTTGCGTGTTTGTGTTGCGTCTTTACAAACAACAACAACAAAACAAATCTTGGAATTTTTTCCATATCCAAATTTCTTCTTATTGCTGAAGTTCGCAAAAAAGGAGAAACTTACTACTTAATGTTTAGCAGCTAACATGTAAAGGCATTTATTTTAATTAAATAAATGTAAGGTAACAGCAACAACAAAAACCAGAATAAAACATTGTTGTAATTCTTAGTATTTTTGCTTCATTTGTATGATGGTGGTTGTTATTGTTGTTGCTATATTTGTTTTGGTCTTATTTTTTGTTGACATAAACATAAGCCTACACATGCTATTCGTACGTACATACATATATAATTTAATAAACACTTGGGTTTTGTTGTTGCTGTTCTACTGCCAACCATCCACATAACCTCACAACCACACATTCATACCATTTCTCTTTCTCTGTCTTGTTCATACTGTCATCTTTAACATTTTTACTTGTCTTGTCATAAGAAATGACACCCGAAAAATGACATTAACTTTAATTCCATGAAGAGGCTTACAATGCATATATGTATGTGTGACATGCCATGAAATGTGCTACACTATGTTATTGTTCTATATTGAATTTTACATACAAAAAATTTTCAATGAGAAGGCATTTCTAGGAAAACTTTTAAAGGAAAATATTTCTCAAAATTTAATTGTTTACACATATAGTCGACATTTAGTTAACACCGATAATAGGTCCCTCATATATGTTAAGTAGATACTAACTCTCAAATACCTTTCTTTCAATTTGTATACCCTTCACCACACTGTGGTACAGGGTATTTGTCTTTGTGCATAGAGGAGGTGATGCAAATGTGGTATAGGTTGGCAATGTGGTATAGTAACTTTTTTTGTAAACTGAAAATTTTAGAATAACTGATACGTGTTCTATAGTTTGCTGTTCTCAAAAAAATAAAATAGCATTGATCTGTTTAATATATTTAAATCACGTTGAGAATCAGTACGAAAAATTAAATTTTTCATGAAAATGACTTTTTTCGGTTCAAGTTTAAAAATAGTTTTTTGTTTTACGGATGTAATTTAATCGTTATTACTAAAGCATTAAAATAATTAGTATGAACAAAAATCAAATAACATGCGCGATTGCACCACTAATCACCAACTTAGGAAAAAAACTAAACATTTCTTCAGTAAACACAAGTGCAGGTAATGTGGTATACCTTGAGTCTGCATGAAAAAAGCCAGTACTGGACAAAATCTCATTACTATTTGAAACATTTAAACTCTACGAGAGTCTACCACGAACAACAAGGATGAAAAACAAAAACAAGGATGAAAAGCACAGAGTACTGAATTAGGTCCAGAATGATGTGTGCCAACTTTCGAGAAAATCGGTTGAGATTTAGATATAGCTCCCATATATAGATTCGTCCGACTTAAGGTAAATGAGGCACCAAAGTCCCTCTATATCTTTTGATTTGCATGAAGTTTGACACAGAGTACTGAATTAGGACAAGAATGATGTGTGCCAAGTTTCGAGAAAATCAATTCAGATTTAGATATAGCTCCCATATATAGTTTCGTCCGATTTAAGGTAAATGGGGCGCCAAAGTCCCTATATATCTTTCGATTTGCATGAAATTTGGCACAGCGTACTGAATTAAGTCTAAAATGATGTCTGCCAAGTTTCGTGAAAATCAGTCCTGACTTAGATATAGCTCCCATATATAGTTTCGTCCGATTTCATGTAAATGATGCACCAAAGTCCCTATATATCTTTCCATTTGCAAGAAATTTGGCATGACGTATTGAATTGAGCCTAGAGCGATGTCTGGCAAGTTTCGGGCCCCCCCGAAATGAATTTTTTTCACAGTAAATTTATGTTTGCAACAGCGAATTTTTTTCATTTTGTACTACCGAATTTTTTTCATTTTGTACTACTTTTGTCCCAAACGAATGACAAGTTTATGGATAGATCTAGTCCGATTCACATTTAGATAAATATCACATGTTTTATTTCATCCAATTTCATGTTAATAATGCTGTTTAATATACCCGTAGTGGTGAAGGGTATCATATAGTCGGCCCCGTCCGATTTTACTACTTTCCTTACTGTTTTTAAAATCACTTTTAATGGAATTTCAAATATTTTCTCAAATATCTCTTAAATTGTTAGAATAATTTTATTTTCAAATTGATACATGGAAAGACAACACATGTAGCATGTTATGTGCAAAATTTCAATTTAATCGGATAAAAAATAAAAATTTGGCAATCTAAAAACAAATGGGTATACCACATTTGCATCACTTCCTATATGTTTGCAACAGGCAAAAATAAACGAGCTAGACACATGGTTCCTTTTGAGAATATGCATAGAATCACTTTCCAAGTCAATTTATGGATGTCCGTCCGTCTATCTATCGGTCCGTCCATGTTAAATTGTAAACAAAGTACAGGTCGCATATATGATTCGAATTGGATGGAATTTGGCACAGCTCATTTGTTAGGCCCAAGAACAACCCCTATTGAAATTTGGCAAAATCGGTTCAGGTGCAAAATCAGGTAAATGGTGCACCAAAGTTCCTATATATATTTCGATTGGCACGAAATTTGGTATATCGTACCAAAATAAATAAATCGATTTAAGGTAAATTGTGCACCAAAGTCGTTCAAAATCTTTTGATTTGCACGAATTTTAGCATGGCGTACTAAATTAAGTCTTAAAAATGTGTGCAAAGTTTCATGAAAATTGGTTCAGATTTAGACATAGCTCCCATATATATTTTCGTCCGATTTAAGGCGACCATATATATATATATATATATCTTTCGATTTGTACGAAATTTGGTACGGCATACTGAATTAGGTCCACAATGATGTGTGCTAAGTTTCGTGAAAATCGGTTCAAATTTAGATATAGCTCCCATATATATTTTCGTCCGCTTTAAGGTAAAAGGGGCGCCAAAGTCCCTATATATCTTTCAGATACAGATATAGTATAGCTTCAATATATAATTTCGACTTATTCATGCTAATTGTACACCAAATAATTAATGGGTGTCTGATTGAGATTAGATTTTAAAAAGTGCAGCATACCGAATAGCATGTGTCAAGTTTGCTTTAAGTCGATTTACAAAATTTAGCATAGGTTGCAGAATGACATGTGTAGAAATTGATTTTAGTCGGTTCACATATAGATAAATATCACATATTTAAGTTCGTTCAATTTCATGTCAAAGTTCCACAAAAAGGCGACGTCTTTTAGGATACATATGTAGAACATACCCAAAGTGGTGAAGGGTATCATATAGTCGGCCCAGTCCGACTTTTCTACTTTCCTTACTGGTTTTAATTGATATTGGGTATGGTATAAGGTATGGTATCATACTATCCTCTCTACCAAAACACGATGAACATATTAGCCATATTTAAAATTTTTTCTTAATACCTAGTATCACATTGTTCTAAAATAGGCTCTGCAAAAAATCTAAATTGAAAAGAAACATTAAAACAATTTACAATTTTTTTACAGAAAATCCCCATTATTATTACAATTTCTATTTACATTGTAAATAACTAAA